GTGTTCTTCTCTACAACAATGCATGTCCACATGTGACGCAACACAAGATTATGGAGTTTGGTTGGGAAGTTCTCCCACACCTACCGTATGCTCCAGATATGGCACCATCAGATTACCATCTTTTCGTTCGCCGAAACATTATCTTAATTGGAAAACGTATGCAAATGTGGAAGGTTTTAAATAGGACATCGATATGTATTTTGCTTCGAAGCCAAGTGGTTTCTTTAATCAGGGCATTAACAACCTGATTGTAAGATGGAAAAGCATTATCGATAAGAATGAGACTATTTCATTTAATAAATGTTTTGATATACAAGTTGTTCGTGTTTTTTCATTAAAAAATACATTAATTTCTTGACTACCCAATATATAAATGATTTGGTAAGAAAAATTGAAACATTATGTAGTTTTCTCAAAGTGTTAGCAATGCACTATATTATAAACTCAATTTGTTTACGATCTTTTTTTGCTTTAAAAAGGATAAAATATGGATTAAGTGTTTCATTGGGCGACAAAAAAGCATATAAATCAAATCCAATTTTCTCTTTAGCGTATGAAATAAAGTTGATAAAAAAATTCTTAGTTTTCAGTTTCAAAAAATCTTTTTTTGGCTAAAGCTTTCAAAAAAAAAGGTTTAATGATGAATCATTTCAGTGACCAGGTGAGAGCTTTAGTAATTAATTTCCTTGAAGATAGATGTTTATAAAAGTGAATATCCAGCATCATTTAGTATTGTGAGCAAAAACATATTTAATGTTAGTCGACTGTTTATAACATGGAATTTTTTCTTTAGAGTAATGATTACTAAACTATGAAAATATATGAAATATACAATGATAAAAAAACAGATCACTTCATGATTTGTTGTTTTTAACAAAAGGAAACGAACAATAATTTTGTAAAGCAAATTTTTAATCTTAATAATATAAAATATTCCAAACTCAAGTAAACAATATAGTCCAAATTATTAGGTCAGTATTTAGAATTTAATACTAAGACACAGTATTAAAATAAAACAGTAGTGGTATTAGCTATGTAGCAATTCTGCATGAATTTCACCTGGTTTAAAGACTTACTCCAAAAATTCTGAGTTATATTAAGTTCCCACTTTTCTAAGCTTAATAATCAGTAAATTATTCATAACAACTAAAAGTTCTATTTTTTAACTCCTAAAACTATATATAGTTGAAACTGAGCATTTGAACTTTGATAAGTACACATTAACAGCTAGGCCTTATTAGTAATGATGAGAGAACTTACTAAAACTGTGCAGCTGTGTTAAATGAGCCACGTTCCAGTACCATGTTGTTAGATAAGTTTCACAAAAACAGTGAGATTAAAGATTAAGTGTTCCATGCAGCTCACTGTGATAACATATAACAAGGACTAATAGTACTGGGTACTATCTTAACAAGCTACGGACAGCAATAACTTTCCATTGACTTACACAGAGGAAAATGGGATTACTATTGAAACCGAACTTTCCAAAAAAAGGAACCAATGTATTTAACATTGTTTTTCATATTTTAATCATTCTGCTTGTGTTGTAAGGCAGTTTTATTCAAAGCTTTCAGACAGGAGTTTTCCCTAAATAACTGTAGGTATAGCTTTCAATCAAGCTACAGCAGTAGTATCAGATAATTGAAGAGAAGGATGAGGCAGTATGCGAGCACACAATATTTTTATTTATTAATTTTAGAATTATTGAGACGTAGTTACTGTCACAGGCTCCAAAATAATTTGTGAAACTTTTTTTTTCCCCCTCAAACAAACTATTTGGTGCCACCTTTTCGGTTTTCCTTAGAAACAGACATGGAACACATTAGCCTACTGACACTTAGCCCTGATCTAACACTACAAAATGATCTCCAGTGTTTCAGTTTAATAGTGGTGAAGCACAGTTTGGATTCTACAAGTTCTCTGTTCAAAAACTTCAGAATTTTTTCAAAACACAATAAACGATTTATAAAAACTTGAAAGACACTATAGATTGTAAGTATATATTTAACTATTGTGTGAATAACAATATTTTCCTTTAGAGTATGCTACACCTAACATTTCTTCTGGAGTGTTCTATTACTAAAAGTTTTTTTTTTCCACTCCAGAACAACTTCTTCCAGATTATGAAAGATAAGCCTTCAATGAAGATTTATGGTAGGTGTGGGTGCCAAATTTACGGTAATTTAGAAATGCCTCATAAAACAATAATACACCAATACATTTGCCATAGCAATATAAGTTTCTAAATTTACATACTGCTATAAAAGTAAGTGAAAAACACATGAATAGATCCTTTTTCGTATAAAATGTTTTCATCACCATAAAATTAAAAACTTGTGTACTAACACCTAATGATCTACCTAAATGTCAATAAACAAATTGAATTTTTACAAGACCCAAAGAAATCCATCACATTATAACAGCACAAGCTGATCTTTAAGCCTAGTTTTTTTGATGTTGTGGTGTGACCAAAAGATTAGTTCTCAAGTAGATATAAACATTTATATTCCACAACTGCACACTTAAACAGTCATGAAAGTAAACAATGTTAATAGATAATTAAAAAATTAAGTTTGATGTATTACCCCTCATATATTTGAAATACGAAAATCATAAATAAATATTTCTACACAATTTCATCCTAAGTAAAAGCTAGAAGTGGAAAAAAAAAAACTAACACCACGATCTTCCACCTAAAACTGGCCTTTAGTTTGATATAAAGGTTATCTCAATTCACATCATTATATTACAATTACAGGTAAAACGTTTTCATTAATATAACTAATTAAGGAACGGAATTTATCTGCAAGTCATTGTTCTGCGTATTAAAAAAGTCAGGCCTGGCCCAGTTGTTTTCTTTTATGCGTATATACAATATTGGGTCCACCTACATAACGTACGAGTGTTACCTAATCTTTGGGTAGATGTTTCATGCTTTTGGGTACAGCAAAAGTTTAAAACAGTGTAAAGAAAAATTTATTATTACATACCAGGAAATGGCAACATCACCAAAAAACCTATTCTCCGATAGCATTATTTATTAAACCTAACAGCAGAAATATTTCAACTGAAGTTTGCCCAATTTCTCAAAAATTACATCTGACCTTATTATTAATTCAACAATTACTACACTTCTATATCACCCAATACCCAAGCATTGACATAAATGTATTTTTAACCCCTCTTATTTACGTACTTATGGTAGTTAGCAAATATTGCAAAAACTACAGCTGGGAAGAAGTCCTGCACCATGAACTTGGAGGTAATGATTTGACTAACTGTTTAAGGGTTATAACAAATGAATTAATGTAAAGGAGATGTTGATTTAACTGTGCACACTTACTCAACCATATAAGCAAGTTATCAACAATAAATAATAGAAATTCTGCAAGAAAAATTAACCTTCTTTAAAACTACAGAATTATGAGCACAGTTGACAGAAGATACCATGAACTGAATAAATGAAAGATGTGTAGTTTCTCTTGTCTGGTCTTTCTTGGAACAGCCTCCCCTGGTGTCATAAAATTCTCAGTGTGTAAAACATACGAGTAGCTTTGTTCATCCGTTCATGAAATTTCCATAAAGTTGTCTCAAGTATCAACGCAACTTTAAAAGACTCCACAAGCAAAATCTTGTATCACCTGGAGTACATTCTCATCGAAACCAGCAACATGCAACACATCGGGGTCATCGGAAGGAGCAAGAAAATTATCTTTGCTTGAAAATGCACACACCACGAGCCTACAAAGAACCAAATCAGCCACACATGAAACTACTTCCTCATAATCTCATGAAAATATGTTAATTATACAAGCGAGTTTCATAAAAATAATACTATGGCGTCTCATTTTTTCAGTGTAACATTTTAGGTGGATACAATTTATAATTTTATGTAAGTAACACATTTAATATTGGAGAGTATTATTTTTTGCTTTAAAACAATTTATGTTTTTCTTTGGATAAGAAGATGAATAAACACTAAGGAAGACTTTCATATTTATCCAATAATTACACAAACTCAATATTTCTTACCAACATAAATATCAAAAGGACAGTTTTTTAAAACTGAAAACAGTCTATACAACATGCTAGTTATGCAGAACTTAGGAGTGTGTGTGTGTGCATGAAGTGAACCTTCACAATATACATAATTCTAACTTTAAATGTTGACATTCATAACTTGTACAATCTTTTTATACTTTAATTTTGGGGTTCTGAAATTTTCTCAGCACGAGGCCTTCTGGTACATTTACATACTGACTAAGTCTGGTTGTAGATAAAAAATAAAATAACCACTGATTTGTTTCAAATACTGACATGCTAGAATTTATTTCTGTTAGTGCTAATATTCAACCTTACTGCAAGAAACACACGAACACCAAACAGTCCTCACCTGGCTTGTGGCAAATCCAGATCTTTTCTGTAATCTTTAAAAGCATCTACAGGATGAACTTCTGGTTGGATCTGGTTATCAGTACATATTAAAATCACATCAAATGATTTTTTCTTTTCTTTAGCCCACTGTAAAGGACCTGCTAGATTAACTGTTCCCATTGGAGTCTTTGAATCAGAAATGTAACAAAAACAAAAAACCTTTTAACCCTGCAATTTTTTTATATTATGTAAGCTTTTTTAAAAAGAATGTTACTGGCTACACTATAATACATCATTAGATGTAAAATAATTATAAATGTTTTATTACAAAAGTCCTATTGGTAACAAAATTTTATTAGGCTGTACTTTAGATCGGAAGGCTCATCTTTTGAGAATTATGTTAAGAGATCAATGTAAATTTTACATACATATATATATATATTGATAATTTTAACTTAAAAAGTCAACTTCTTATTGTAATTTTATTTAGCGATTTTATGTATTTTAAAAATGTTAAGTTAAAGTAGAAATTATGCAAAACAGTTCACTACTCACAAAAATCTAGTAACAGTTCTACGTACATAAATTAAAACAAGTTTAAATATTAATGTGAAGGTTTAATATATTAAATACTCGAAATTGTATATCATCCATCCAATTTAAAAGACATTTTAATTTGTACCTCTCTCAACTTTTTAAAAACATCTCCATGGGACATCTCCTTATCGACTTCTATTTCTTCAAGTCCATCTTTAGAGAATACGAGGGTTGTCAGTCTTCCACTCTCAGCTTGAGCTAATGCCATTAAAACCAAACAGGCAGCATCAGCAGAGCAAAGATAACGACATCCAGAGGTTTTCCTACCATGAAACATAGACCCACGGATATCAATAGCCACGAGATACCGTTTATTTGTTGATTGAACCATCTGGAAAAAAATTCAGATTTGTAAAATGAAAACATAATTTCACTTTTTCTTTGTTCCTTCTTCAGTTGGGAAACAAAACCTCCTGTACAACACGGTTTTTTAGAGATTTTTTAATTTTCAAAATTCAAATATATAACGCTGTTGCATTTTGAAACGACCAACTTTGGTCAAAGGCTCAAACAATTTAGTTGCACAACATTAATATAGCAAAACTGAGGAAAAACAAGACAATTATACATTTCACAAGTATATCATCTATTTATGACCATGTATTTCCTCAATTTTGTAATAATGGAGTTTCACCAAGTACTGACGGTTTCAAGTATCAATTATACTAATGTAGCATTTTTAATATTCTTCCCTGAATAGAATTTCTTAGTGGTGGTGGTAACAGACATTATACAGTGAGTGAACCAAGTTAAACAAACCCCTCCCCTGCATGTAACATACTTTCCCAGCATACATAGCTCTTCTTTATTAAGCATGAACATAATGTACACAACATTACTGCAGGTAATGAAATTCAAACACAGTTTCTTGTTCTAACATTAGCTCCTAAGTTATCAATTATTATCAGTATTCAAATAGTTTTTTTTCATACCTTGAAGGAGGAACGTTGTAGCATCTGGAGGGTGTTATTCAACTGAGAATGTTTATGGATGTGAAAAACAGTTTTATCAGCTGGACCCTTCTGTAAGATTTCTAAATGCTTGATGATAATGAACGTCTGTAGCGGATTAAGGTTATTAACAGCCAGTGTGATCTCAGTGTTTAACCTCTCCAGCAGTGGTTTAAAGACTGGGCTCTTGTGCTTAAGAAAACCTAGCCGATGGAGTCTGGGAAGTTGAGCCACAAGCACTCGGACCGGAAGTCTTGAAATTAGGCAGAGCCAAATCTACAATACAGTCAAGAACACATTTTACTTCCTATTTTTTATTTATGTTCATTAATTGTTTTTTTCTGCAACTGGTGACCTAGTCTTTTAATTAAAAATTATCAAATCACAAGACTAATATTCTGACACCTTAAAAGGAAAACATTCTTTATGTAGCAAACCAAAATATTTTTTTTTAAACCAGCAAATACAAAAAAAAATATATCATTAATTCTTCATTGTTACAGGCATTAAAACAAACATTAGTTCAATATGTTACATTTCAGTAACAGATGTTAAAGTCCGTAAAGAAATTGTTCTGACTGGTATGATATTAATATACAAATATTTTCATGGAAAGTTAACGTGACACTAACCCAACAGTCATGAGATACAGGGGACATCACAAAAAAAACTTATATTTTACAAACCCAACTTCTTTAGCGTATTCTTGCAATGTAAAATTTGGATCATAGAGTAGTATAAAATAAACATACATCTAAAACTGAAAGTACTGTTTGCCTTTCTTTTAATTTGGACTAAAAGTGAATGAGATTATACCAAAGATCCTAACTATAGCTCATTCTGGGCTTAATTTCAGACCAACATGAAATACAACATCTTTCAATCAAAGGGCACTTTTTTTCGTTTTTATTTAAACACCCGAGTTTAATCAAAATATACTGTAACTTTTTATTTTTAGTACATAAATTGGAATGCATAACTGATACTAATATTTTTTCCAGATATTATTAAAACTTGTTACAAACAGTCTGTCAGGACCAGATACAATCAACATGTTATAAGAAATCCAAGAGAGATGCCAAGATCACCTATAGGAAATAACACATAATTAGAACATTCCGTTAGAATCTTTAAAAAAACTGCTGATTTCTTGGGAAAAAATATGAGGGTGGCTTTCACCTCCCAATTAACCAAACCTAAGTTAACAGAGACACTGTTTAGCTTACTATATTTAAATATTTGAAGTTATGTATTGTGTTGTTCCAGTTTTTAAGTGTAAAGACTGTAACATAATATACGCCAAAGTTCGTATGTTAGAATACCTTTCACCAAAAATTAGTTTTGTGGATCACAGTTACAAACACTAATGGTTGAAAGCAACTTGTACCAACGACATTAAAAAATGACTATTGGTAAAGAGAAAGATCCAGTACAGGTTTTAGAAACATGAAATAATGTGAGAATTCAAACATAAATAATTTCAATTACCTCTTCTGACTTAAGCAGTTTTGTTGGTATGTGTTCAAAACTAAGATCATGCGTCTCTATTAAATGAACAGCTTTCTGTTCATCAGCGGCGTGTTTCAGTTCATGAACCGCTTTTAGGTAAGCTAGGATTTCTTTAACTTCGGATGAGGCATCTTCGCCACTAAATTCCTTCTCGGTAGCTTCGTACCCATGAGTGATGTATTTGTAAATGGCAGCCAAGGCTGAAAATACAAGACAAGAATTGGAGGAGGAACAGATTTACATCAAAGTTGGACATGCTAAGTATATATAATTTTCATGCGATTTTGATATTATGAAGTAAAAAAAACTACATTTCAATCAAAAGTATATATATATGACCCACAAGTTATTCCTTCTACTTGCAAGTGTTATTTCTGTAATACTTCTTGGTTGTTAGGTAATTAATACAAGAAGTAGAGTTACAGTCTATTTCACCTTCAATATGGGCTACAGGAAAGTGTAGGGGAGGCTATAGTCAAGATGGGTTTCCATTGAGAAAGTTTGGAAACTTCCGGTGTAGTGCACAATGGAGCTTAAATATGTTTAATGGCATACAGTAATTGTTCCATGATTAGTTAGTCTCCAGAAGAAATTGCAAAGTGAAAATGTTTTTCACTTTAAAAAGGGCTGTTCTTTTTCTATTAAACACACTTCATGTACACCTATGATTACAACTGTTGTCACAAATTTGAGCAGAAATTTATTTAACTTTTTGATGTTTCAAGTTTTCTATTAGCATTGTTTTGTTTGTGCTCTTTTAACTACCAAATCAGCATGGTATGCAGCGGACATAATTCTGAGAAATGTCAAAACTCTTAAAGCAGATACAGGGGGAAAAAAAAAAGATATAAAATGTTACCTAATCCTTCTGAATCTAGCCAACCAACCCAAATCCAGCTCTTTAAATCCCTCTGAATCTAGCCAACCTACCCAAATCCAGCTCTTTAAATCCCTCTGAATCTAGCCAACCAACCCAAATCCAGCTCTTTAAATCCCTCTGAATCTAGCCAACCAACCCAAATCCAGCTCTTTAAATCCCTCAGAATCTAGCCAACCAACCCAAATCCAGCTCTTTAAATCCCTCTGAATCTAGCCAACCAACCCAAATCCAGCTCTTTAAATCCCTCTGAATCTAGCCAACCAACCCAAATCCAGCTCTTTATACCCATACAACACATAATTTTAAATAAATTTAAATTATGAATAGCTACAGCTTTGAGACAGCCATTCATGCCAACAGTGAATTCTCATGAAATGAAGAAACTTTGTACACTAAAAATAAGATCGAGCTTAACCCTTTCACTGTAGCAGCTGAGACATATATTTCCCAAAGCTCCCACCCCCTCACACTGCAACAAATGTTTTCCATTGTCATTCAAAATTGCCGTGTGTGACGAATGGGAGTAAAATGTGTTGGAAAGTATTTTCTGGCATCCAACCTAATGTTGATATATGGTTTTCCCCTCAGCCCTTCAGTAACTAACAAGATACCTAGGCGGAATGTAAACGTAGAACAACTGCGTGCCGACCGTGACCGCATTGCTAGAGTGGCGAGTAGTAACCCTAATCAGTAATTACTATATAAACATGCTCGATACATTTGACTCAGATAGCTTAGAAGATAGTGAAAGTGTGTCAAGGGGTGTTCAAATGTGCGATGAAGAAGAGGCAATGAGGCAAGAGGATGCTAGCTCTCCATCTAGTTGTGATAGTTAAGATGATGAACCTGGACCCAGCAGAGGAAGGCATAAACAACATCAACAATGGGAAACATTTATCCCAGCTGCAGTGAATGGGTTAAAATTAACAGCACACAAGAAAATATCAGACAAATCATTCCATACGTTTATAACTCTTACTGTGAGGAAGTTTTGCCAAACAAAATGTCTGGATTCAGGTTTCCAAAACTTAGCCTTACAGATATTAAAGCTCTTGTTAAGCTTCCTATTTTTAACCTTAATATTCCATCAAGCAAATCAATATGCAGATTATGTAAGATATAAAGAGTTTTAAAAACATGACTTAAATCTCATTTCATTCAACTAGCTTTTAAAGAAAACAAGTCCAAGTCTTTTAAACCTCCCTTGATCTGAAGGACTCGTTATATAAACTGAAACTACATATCCTATTCATTCAATAGACAGATGCAGTACACAAGTTCTTAAAACTACTCTCTTGATAATATCAATTTGAGTCAAGTTCAGAAGCTTGAAAGACTTGGACTTGTTTACTCTCTAACCTAGAAGAACTAGATGTAATTTGTGTCCAGTTCAGAGATATTATCAAAGGTGGCTTGAAAGACTTGGACTTGTTTACTCTATAACCTAGAAGAACTAGATGTCATTTGAGTCAAGTTCAGATATATTATCAAAGGTGGCTTGAAAGACTTGGACTTGTTTACTCTATAACCTAGAAGAACTAGATGTAAATTGAGTCAAGTTCAGATATATTATCAAAGGTGGCTTGAAAGACTTATACTTGTTTACTCTATAACCTATAAGAACTAGATGTAATTTGTGTCAAGTTCAGAGATATTATCAAAGGTGGCTTGAAAGACTTGGACTTGTTTACTCTATAACCTAGAAGAACTAGATGTAAATTGAGTCAACTTCAGAGATATTATCAAAGGTGGCTTGAAAGACTTATACTTGTTTACTCTATAACCTAGAAGAACTAGATGTGCCACCTTTGATAATATCTCTGAACTTGACACAAATTACATCTAGTTCTTCTAGGTTATAGAGTAAACAAGTCCAAGTCTTTCAAGCCACCTTTGATAATATCTCTGAACTTGACTCAATTTACATCTAGTTCTTCAAGGTTATAGAGAAAACAAGTCCAAGTTACCTTTGATAATATCTCTGAACTTGACTCAAATTTTATCTAGTAGTTCTTCTAGAGAAAATAAGTCCAAGTCTTTCAAACCACCTTTGATAATATTCTTGTCAGTATACCTTTAATTTCCCATTATATCAAGACTAAAGTTGTAATAATCTTGTATTCAATTTCAAAGTCTCCATAAGCAGATTTCAGAACTATATTATTTTTGATAGGCTTAGAGAAATATCAGCAATATATTCTAAACAATCCTGAGAACAAACATATGTACTTACTACAAGGCTGTAGGTTAAAACATCTACAAAAACCGAGTTTGATTTTTCTTTTCCTCACATGCACTTGATTTAAGATACAAGATTTGTTTGTGACGAAAGGAAAGCTAATCGTAAGAGTGGTAGAAAGGACTTCAAGTTAGAAAAAATATTTTACGACTAGGAATTTTAACCAAAATCCTCATCCTCTGGTTTGATTATTTTACTCTTACCATATTTCATTTTTAAACCGCCCAGCTGTCAGCATTTAAACTATAATGTTTAGATAAAGTTTTTAATTTAATAATGTTCTTGTAATAGAACAAATAAACTCACAGTTCTTTTAATAAAGAAAAAAAAAAATTTTTTAAACTAGAAGATTTACTTCTAAGTAAGTGAATGGTTAATTTGCCACATGAATTTTAATACCATTTTGTGGTGACAGATTTGAGCCTGTGTAATTAAGATTATGTTTTTATTATTTAATGTTAATACACCATGATAAAATATAAGTTAGTTTAAATACAGCAAAAGATGAGTGTGGGAGGCAAAATTAGGGTACAAAATGATAGCTGTTCCATTACAAAATTGTTAGTAAATACAGTTTACAATTTGCAATAATGTTCTTCCAACTTAAAGAAATGTAGCATAAGATCAAAAATACAGTCTACAATACATGGTACTTTCATTCCTACTTGTGCTTTTTGTCTGAATGACAATTAAAAAGAACCTGAAAGTTTCCTCGAGCTTTTAGATATCAAACTTAGTCATCACTTTACACTTCAAGCAACATATTTTATAATTTAACTGAGCTTTTTTAAATTTATTTTTGGCAACTGAATCGTTACTTCTATAATCAATTTCTTATGAAAATTAGTGAGAAAACAGACCTCTACTTTTTAACCTCTCACCTTTATTTTCAGTTTTTAAATGAACCAATCGAAGCAAGTCCTTGTGAGTCCAGCCATGATGAGACACAACCCGTGTCACTAAAGCTGCTAGCTTTTTTGGGTCTACCTTATACCAGTTGGCCACAGCAGTTCGACGACTTCTTCCCCAGCCTGTGGTGGGTTTGCTGACCTCTTCCCCATAATGTACAAAACTAAATAATCCTCCTGCAGTTAAACAAATTTCTTTCAATGCTGAATATGCTGCATTCTTTGTTCTTATATCTTGGGAATGTGAACATACAGCAAGAGCAAAAGAAAGTGCATCTGGATAAACTGACAAGCCTTCTTTTGCAACTCTAGCAATCTCTTTTACAGCTAATTCCTGACTGTTTCTATCGATGCAGTGGATATTTTCTAAAGAAAACTGTTTGTTGCCAGGAGCATAACAATGTGCTTCCGTTCCAATGTGGAGAAATCGCAGTAACCTACTGTGTTCAGGATTACTAACACTGTCTCCCATGATCCAGTTCCAACACTAACTATACCTGTTAGAAACAGTTTTCCATTACAAATATTAAGAAAAATCACAGCTAAAAAAAACAACATTCTAAACAAAAAGATCAACACAAAATGTGATACAGAGTCACAAACACAGCCTATAACACTCAAGTTCTTAAAACTGACTTTCTACTAAACATAATTGTTTAGGCCAGTTTAATAAAAAAATTTGTTTCTCAGAAATTTTCATGAAAAAATTCCGTTGGTCAGTTGATTTTTTGCTGTTGTTGTTTTTATTTATATTTGTAATACTGGATACATTTATCTCTCTTCTTTAGACCAACATTAACCAACTATACTATGTTGGTAGGCTGTTGATATTTCAACACATAACAGTTTTATTCCATTATTCAATTGTATACAACTGATGGTGCTACATAAACCTAATGAAATGTAGCATTTTTTAAACTAAAGTAAGAAATAAGTTTTAAAAACATATTACTTGTTTTATCCATAAAAAAAACTTTGTTCTTCATGCTACGAGTTCTTCCTTTAACTGAATTGATAATCTGGTTTCCTTTTTTTCTCAGTTGATAGCAAGACACTTTGTGTTCAACTTATCAGATATGAAGTCATGCTTGTCAAGATTCTCTACTACTTTTCTTGAATATAAACCCAATTTATGAAATTTTCCAAGTAGAATTCTGGATGAAGTTGTTAATATAAAAAATTTTTACTTATCTTAAAAAAAGTAAAAACTTTGCTATGAATTGCAAGTATGGAGATGAAAAGTTCTTAGCGTTCTGAGTTTTTGTATCATAAAAGCTATTACTGTGATGGATGTATAACATTAAATAAAACGCAAGACATAATAACAGAACTAGTACTATATATATAAGTTCATACAAACAGATACCTATAATAATATAACAACAACATATTTGTTATTATATTCGAAATAACTATAGACCCAGTTTGTAAGACACTGTTTCTTTTGAAAAATACAAACTTTTTCATATTCAAAACAAATTTAATGACTATAATGGGTTCTGAAAATTTATAACAAGATAGCTGGACAGATTTTTTGGAGAAAACTCAATTTTAAACAAAATTCAGTTATGAAGCACCAACTTTTGTGTGTAAAAACTTAGAACTTTAAATCAATGTGCATTTTTTTCTTATACATTTGTTGAAACATTATTCTGAAATTAAGTTATCTTAATTTCCTATTACTGATGTATTTACACTTTTTTTCTTGCTTCCAAATTTCAGTTTATGAGTGCATTGAAATGAATATTGAAACCATGATGACATTATCAGTAATGCAAGTTTTAGATTATTTCAATATACTTATAGAGAGCATTTTTAAAATTTAAATTCTGCTGATACAACGTAGTCGGTAACTTTGACATTTGCAGTTATAATACCAAATCATTTCAACTAATACTAATAGTGATTATACTTGATATTGACAGGCAAGCTTGTGTTTTCCAATTTTTATTACGCAGTCTAATAATTTAATTTTTTTTTATATGATACATAGCTATATAATTTGTACATTAACATTTTCAAACAAAATATTTTGTAGCAAGTTGTTTTATACATTGTCGATATATACGTTAACGAAACGTATATCAAATGCCGGCAACATTGAACTTAAATTCAAATACTTGTACTAGTGGTAGTATTACTATTACTAGCGAACGGTCAAGTTCCTCCTGCCAAGACACGTGATTTATTATTTTTTAGAGAAAACCTGAGAGTACAGTCAAGTATCATCCCACGCAATGGTACTTTGATAATGTCAGTCTTAGTTTATTTAAATCTACTTTTCTGACTGGTCTGACTCAGAGTCCGAAAATTACCAAATAGTGAAATATATTGGAGTTTTAACAGGAAAAACAGTGAACAATGTTACAGTTACTGAATACTGACATTACTGTGCCATTCTAATTTCTAAGTCTTACGCCTAAAAAGTAAAATATAATCACATCGAACACTACTCACTGGATAATAATGAATCGTGAAAAAATAACGTTTCGACTATAATACTAGGAATCATATATGGTTAAAAAATAAGAAGTAGTATAATTCAATATAGAACACAACAAACCCTTTATATCACTGAGAGTCGAAGACTTGTGACTGTGCACTTCGGCATGCACTGACGTCATAGCTTACGAACAGTAACTAACAGAAAGAGCAAAAAAAAAAAAAAAAATAATTCAACTGGTTTTACTAAAAAATTCCAATATACCAACTGATGTTTTGTACTGCTGATTACCGTTTGTGTTTTAGTGTAATACTCCTGATGTAAGCCTAAACATTGAGTGTCCAATTACACAAAAAAAGACTAAATCTGCTACTACAAGACAGTTTATTTCCATAATTAATATGCCTTTTATACACCAATATGCATTTCAGAAATTAAATAATGAGTCATTAATCACGATTTTAGTAAAATATTTATATTTACCCATTTTTTTTCAAAATAAATAGTTCAAATATTAATTAATAGTAAAAAATAGACAAAATATTTAAGCATGATCACGTCATCACTTAAGCTCATAAAAATATTACTTAAATATTTATAATTAAGCAGTATTTGTATATAATAATGCACAAGTTTGGTAGAACGCCTCAAAAAATGAGCTTCAAATACAAAATAGTCATTGAATAGCTACATAAGTACTCCCTACTCCCGGTAGCTCAGTGGTAAGTCGCGTTTCGATAGCCCTAATAGCCTATTGTGTAGATTTATGGTCAACAACAAACAAGATATATATGTATTAACTTGTCATTATTGTAAATTAATTTTACACAGTTACTAAACTTGTAATTATACCAAATTAATCTTACACAATTATTACACAAATAATGTCTAAGTTTTTGTTGTTGTTGTTTTGTTTAATGCTAATATTTAGGGTTGGCCACGTTTGGCATCTTTGTGGCACTGTAACTATATGTTTTCAAGCATAGGGTCCAGCAATTCCAGATATGTTCTATGGAGTTAAAGTATGGACTTGGTGGCGGCCATTTTCATTCGTTGAAGACCTATTGAGCTTTTATCCTTTGCCAAATAAGCTCAATATTTATTGGACGTGTGTGTTTGGGACCATCTTCTTGAAATATAAAAATCTATCCAATCAGCTTCTTTCCAGGGGGTATATCGTGATGGACTAACTATTGTATTATTTACAATGATCCACGACTCCATCAATTTTATGAAGCTGACCAACAATACTCGCCGATATTGTGCCCCAAACTATTACAAAGCCTCCTGCACGCTTGGCTTCTGGCACGAGGCACTATTTCTGTAACCTCTCATTTAATCTTCTGCAAACATATACACGCTCTTTGGAATTAAGCAGTTGGAATTTTGATTCGTCTATTCAAATTACTTTTTGCCATTGTTAGGATACATGTTCTTTCGCAAAGCTAGTCTCTTTACTCTATTCTCTCTCTCTGCGCAGAAAAGACTTTATTGTTCCTATTCTTCCCCAAAAGCCACTTTTGTGCATGATTTGTTAATTTTGTGAGATAGAGAATTCTACATTTATTTTGTTATGGTTTTGTTTACCTTTCTTCTATTATTTCTTCCGTCGTTTAGTTCAACAATGAATTTTTAGTTATATTAAAGCGCTAACTCTTCTTTTAGCTGGAGCATGTTGAATTTGAGTATGTTTGTATTATGAAAATAAAACAAGCTGCCCTTAGTGGTGTCATACAGATATTAATGTTGTGAAATTAGCTAGTCACGCGAGATGTAACCTTGTTTTGTTTTAGTCCGTTACAATGTTATCAGTAAGACTTTTCATAAGATTCCTTAGATTTTTCAGGGAAGTGATTTTTAGATATCTAGCATACTTTTAAGTGAGATTTGTTTCGTCTCCTACCTTGTTTGATGTTATACGACTTGGTTTCTTTGTATCTGTCCAATATGTATTTCACAGTACTTGTTTGTTTTGAATTTCGCGCAAAGCTACACGAGGGCTATCTGCGCTAGCCGTCCCTAATGTAGCAGTGTAAGACTAGAGGGAAGGCAGCTAGTCATCACCACCCACCGCCAACTCTTGGGCTACTCTTTTACCAACGCCCCCCGACTGAAAGGGCGAGCATGTTTGGTGTGACGGGGATTCGAACTCGTGACCCTCAGATTGCCATGCCGGGCCTTTCACAGAACTTACTGAATAGGTGGGATATTTTGCAATTTTTCGTAAACTCCAACCAGATTTGACTCTGATTTTGTCAAAGGGTGTTAATTCTATCTGATTTGGCATTTTAACGGCAACACCACACTATATTAGCTGTACTGTACAATGTTTTTGAAAGTAAATTATCACCTCTTATACTCTTGTATATATCTACATGAAAAAACGCAGAATATGAAATCTCGAATTTTTGTCAGCGATTATTGGCACAGAAACTAAACGCAATCACAATGCTACAATGTTGCATTACTTTGTATATAATTAAATTGGATATTCTGAATAGCTTAAAAAGACACCTTACTGGATGAAATAATTTATGGCTGCGTGTTAATTTTTTTTAAAATTTTAAATGAATTAAATGTTTAGCTTATAAAGTCATGGATAATTTGCCTAGTTTGACGCATTTTTTCCCCAACATTCCCAAGATTCTTAACTTAGCTCACAGTCAAACGCCTCCGACATCGGAATGACTACCACGACGCCTGACAATGCATCTACAAAATGGAGCCATCAAAGAACATTGTGTCTGCATCCACAACCAAAAACTCACACGTCAGGACCTAGTACAAAACACTAAAGTAAAACGCCGATTTAACGACTTCACAACGCTCCAGATACACGAGGCCATATAGATCCTACAGCAAACCCCCACAATCAACAAACAATCGACTGGAACAGAACGCACACTGCTACTTCTTGGCGAGAAACCCCCAAGCCACAATACAACACTCCACCAATCAACGCCTTCCAATTTAGTTGACAGCCCCACCTAATGAGCTAAATAC